TGGGCGATGTCGAAAAAACATGCATCTGTAAAACACTGCCTCCTCCCCACTAATAACCTCAAACTGCTGTCCAAACCCACTGACAAACCAAACCAGCTACCGACCGGCGAGCTCGTGCCTACTGTAAATTCACTTCTCACAGCGGTTCGTCTTGGCTGCCGATCTGCTCCGCTGTCTATAGTGCTGCATTAGTCCAGCTTTGCGTGACAGACAGTGCAGCTTGTGTGCATCCTCAACGCAGGCGTTTAAGACTACACAGATGTAAGAGTACAGTATTATCATAATCTACAGACTGTCAAATTCTATCTGTCTCCAGAGGAGGGACCCTCTCCACTGTCAGCCAGCTCACTACTTAACTAGCCAGCTCTGGAAGCACCAACACTTTTCCAACCAGGAGCTGTGCCAGTCCCACGAGGGAAAAACAGATGAATGAGAGAGGACGGGCAGCATGGAAAAGAGAGGAGAAGTGATAAAAAGTGGAATGAAGGAAGAGTTGGATGAAGGTTAAAAGATGCCAGAGACTGAGTAGGAAAGACAAAGTAGGTGGTAGATGGAGTTGCACATAGCCTCACAATGCCAACTGATGTGGTAAGTGATACAAAAAGGAAGGAAAGAAGAGAAAAGAGAGAAAAGAGGGAGAGAGGAAGAATAGAGATAAGGCAGGTAATGGGTGATTGGGAGGTTTTCCCCATGTGTGTCTACTAAAAACTGTAATTCAGAGGTTCCTGTGAGGCCTGATACCTTGTCCTGAACCTGGGTGCTGCCTTAGTGTGTGTTTGTGTGTGCACTGGCATCAGTGTGTGTGTGTGTGTGTGTGTGTGTAAGTGCATGAGTGTTGGAGGAAGTCTAAAGCCCTGTTTCCCATGCGTGTAATCATCCCAGGATGAGGTGGAGGATGAAGCCGAGCGGGACTTCCCCTGCACCAGAGGGTATTTTCCTCTCACACTGTGGTACAAGCACATGGCTGACCCGAGCTGCCTCTGCTTGTGTGTGTGTGTGTGTGTGTGTGTGTGTGTGAGAAAGAGAGAGAGAGAGAGACATACCAACTTGGGACGATGGAAGCAATTTTTAAAAATATTCTCTATTTTGGCTCTTAACCAGTTTGGGACATTACTAAAATACTTTGGGAGCTTGTCATTGTGGCAACTACATGACAACCAGACAGTGATGGCAACAACGAGAGGTTACACTATAAAATATGTTTTAAGGAATGGATGGCATGGATGTGGCAAATAAGAGAATGATATAGTGTGTGTGTGTGTGTGTGTGTGTGTGTGTGTGTGTGTGCGCGCGCACGCACGCACACAGACACATGTGGAGGAAGAAGTGGTGGTTAAAAGAGACTAGAACGAGAAGCTGCTGGGAAGATGCAGATTTGCACACTTTCACACGAAGCCATTAACTTCTCTGTCGTTCTTTCTGAAGAACAAATAACGTCATAGCAGAGCTGACGCACAGAATGCAGACACACAAACAAACACACACAGGTCAGCTGCTCAGTCATAAAGTAGTATTATAGTATTGGCTCCCAAATAAAAGGCTGCTGCTGGCAGTTACCACGCAGAGAATGTGGGGACCATGTGTATGCATGTGCACATGTGTGTGTGTGTGTGTGTGTGTGTGTGTGAGGGTATACACTTCTGTGTTGCTGGGTGACAGTGCCGATGACAGAGCGGTGAGATAAGTCCCAGAAGCTGCTCTATCATCTATTCATAGCTCCCTGACTGTGAGACCTCCTGCTGCTGAAAGCTGCCTGATCTCAACCCAGCCTCACTTTATCATCATTAACATCAACCAAAAAATACAGAGATGAAGTCAAACTGTGACGGACCGTAGCTAATGCTGCGATAAACATCCTAATAATGCCTTGACTTATAGAGCAACAAATCTGCTTATGGACTGCTAAGAAATCATGGTGCATTTGCTCTGCATTTCAATCATGATTTAAGTGGAAACTGGTATGGGAACTGTGGACAACTGGCTACAATGCACAATGACACAGAAAACACAGATTCTGAGAAAATAATCTTGGACAGCGTTGCTGTGTATGCATGAAAAGGTCATAATAAATGTGTGTATGTGTGTGGACAGATTCTCTCAAAGCACAGCTCAGTAACTAGAAATGACTGCAATCACACACAAGGCTCACACATATTGCCCACGCGCCTGGCTCGCCTCACCACTGCCAGGGAACCCAAAAGCCCCTACAAAACAAATTCATTAACCCAGACAATAAAACACAGCTGTGAGGGGCGAGGGGAACTGTTTGAAATCAGTGCCCGGGATTGTGGAGAATCTGTTCGAGGCAAACAGTGTGTTCTCAAAATGTCTAGGAAAAAAATAAATGGATAAAAAAAAGAGAGGAAAGGATTTGGAAATAAGAGAGAGTGAGCAGGGAGCGGTGTTTAATTTAAACTCTTTCAGGGGACAGTGCTGACTGTGAGAGCGGAGATGCTTTATTGAAGCACAACAACAAAAACAATTCCCCCGTACCAGATGCTTGAGATCCAGGACCTGTTTTTAATTGAATCCTTTGAACAGGTTGTATAAAGGAAGTACAAACAAAACTGTCAAATACTATAAATATCATTACGGAAGTTGGGTTTGAATTAAAAAAAAAAAAAAAGAAAAAGAAGAAGACAGATACATGCACCAAATCCAGATTCTGGCATGGTGGAAACTGGCAATGGAAATACATCTGAACTTTATGATTACTATTTGTAATCTGTTAGCAGGGGGTGGAGAAGCATCTGTTTTATTCTATTCAGTTAGTCTATTCTAACTCCATCAAAAGTCTTTACCTGTTCCAAACTCATATTCCAAACAATGTCAGGGCACATACTACTGATATTATTTGATGGTGGTGTGTCTAATGTGTTTGCAGGGGGTAGACAGGCTGCTGGCAGAGCAGACTGTGAGTGAAGAGAAGCAGCGCTCAGGAGCCAGGGTCTGAGCACGTAGAGTCATGGTGCTGTAGTTAAACCCACCACTAGAGGGCTCTGCAGCTTGTGGAATGAGCTTCTGAAGGCATGAACACACCAGACCCGATCATGTCTTAGTCACACTGACCTCCCTTCTGCAGGTTCTGGGCCAAGCAGCCGGACAGATGCGGTGGCCAAAAGACTTACGACACTGAGATAGATGGAGGTACAAATGGTTTTACAGAGAGTGTCCAAAAAGCTAAAGCCAGAGCACATTTATTCAGAGTAACCTCCATGCTCTGCAGCTGCACAGAGGTGAAGACACACACTGACTGACCTCAGTGTTAATGATACTGTTACACTCCATAATGGCACTACTATAAAACGAAATGAGTAAAGAATATGGTATAATGCACCTGAAATTAATATGGTATAATAAAAGTAAAAAGTGAAACAGTGAGAGTTCCCAACAACTGTGACCAAAAAGCCAATATTAAATGAAAGCAGAAGAATTTTCCCAAGCATATATACTTCATTTCTCAATAGTGGATGGATGATCATTATATTACATCACTCTGGACCTATGGGTCATTTCAATTTCACTTAATCCCACTGAAGGCAGCAATAACACAGCGGTTAGATGTGAATTTATGAACAAAAAGTTGACTGTTCCCATCTTTGGATAAACTAGGAAACATGGCCGGGGGAAAAGAACATAACACTTTGCAGCTACTGTCACAGTGCCCTTGAGCAATTCCCTTAATCCCCAGCTCCTCCGGCTGGAGTTGCTCAGCACAAATGCACATAAAAATGAAATCATAGAGGAAGGTTTTTTTGTGTATGTGAAGCTAGATGTTGGTGGAAAAAATGCTCAGTTTACATTGCCTTAAAAAACATAAAGGTAACCACATTTTCTAATTTTAAAACAGTTGCCAATGGACCTCCCAGAATAGCTGCTTGCTGAACTTTCTCAACGTGCCATGAACCTGGATGAACCCTCTACAGCCGTTAGCTGCCCCTCAACAGAATCAAGCCATGAATCATTACAAGTCAGGGGTGAGGGCTCCGAGATCACCTAAATCAGAACCAGATGCACAGCAGGCACCTCCTTAGGACTAACTGTATAAATAACTAAAAAAAAGAATAATAAAAGAAGTCAGCAAACTTCACACCATGTCTTCTCTCATAAGCTTCTATGATTGCAAAACTTCCTTTTTAATATTTAATTTTATGAAGTTGTTTTGCTTTCAACAGCCAAATCAGTGAATGTATTTTATATAAATGATAGTAATGCTTGTAGTGGCCCCCCAGGAAGCCAACAACGTCACTTCACAGAAGCCCTTACAGGGTCTGAGTCATCTGACGCAGTCACTGCACGTCAGTACACCCATCCTCCCGTAAAGAATCCTGAGTGGAGATAACAGTAAAATCACTCCGTCAACTAATTTCATCCCATTCCCCCTCTTCTTCTCTCCCCTGTCCCCTTCCCTCCTCTATGACTCCCATCCTCGCCACAGCTGGTAAATATTTTTATATTGTGTTCCATTAGAAAGTTTTATTAAGCGGTCAGACAGGGCAAATGGCGCCTGGGAGCTCCCTGTCCTGTAAACAATAGGAAGGGCCCTGAAAGCTGCAGCTGAGTGCAGCGCAGTAAACTAAGGTCACATTAGAGAACTGCCTTGCTCTGAGTGAGTAAATATTTAAATGTGTTAGATTCACCCAAAATAGTGAGGGGCGATGGTTAGGGGCACCGTATCAGGGAAACGGTTGTGATGTATTTTTGAGTGAAACTGGCGTAGCCCCATGCAGTGATTTGTAAATGGAGGTATGTCACACTGTGGTACTTCAAGAAGATTAACAGCAAGGGAGAGGTGATCTGAGGGCCAAGATGTGATGTGTGAGCATGTAACTATAACTACTGTGGGGCCCGGCCTTACGACCTTATGTGTGTGTGTGTGTGTGTGTGTGAGAGTGATTCTGAGTACAACACATACATATTATATACCTCTGACAAACTAAAGACTGAAGAAGTGGAAAGACATGCTGAGTTGAAAGATTGTTGTTGATAACAGCACATACCTCAGCACTTTTCTCAGGAGCCTCCATTCCCACCATGTTTTCTCTGAGAAGCTGCTGAAGGAGCTGCACCTGGGCAACGCTGAGGTAGAAATCCAGACTGCTGGTCACATTTACCTCCAGAGAGTGGCCACACACCACCACCTCCTAGAGAGATGAAGGAGATAGCACAGAGGGAAATGAAAAGAGGGGCGTGGGTGGAGAGAGCAGGAAAGACATATTCGATAACACATCAGGATTGTTTGTGACCTCATTCACCGCTTCTCTCTCTTTTTTTTAAACTTTTATACTCTTGGTGTATTTACTTTCCGTGTCCCCTCTATCTTGCTCCCTTTAGCTCAGTTGTTCCCTCCTTCCCCTCTTCCATCTGTCCTCTCCAGGGTCCCACCCACAGCCAGCAGTTCAAACCTCAGCCTGGAGGCTACATCTAACAGGATATCACTCACTAACACTCTGGGTTGAACCACACACACACGGGCCAAACCTACAGTAACTACACACAATGGTATTTGGCAACTACTGTGTAAACATAATCTATTCAAACCCACTGTTTAAAAAACATAAAAAGGATTGTTAATATTTTATTCAGTATTGAACGAATCATCAAATATCACAATTTGTTTTTGCTTTCTCTCTTTTAGATATATAGAATATATTATATTGTATAATCATTATGATTATGATTATTACTGTTATTATTAGTAGTATAAGTAGTAGTAGTAGCACTTACATTAACACACAAGGTCATTACATCATAAGGTTACAATAATAGTTATTGAATATGTTGCCTGGATGAATGACAGTTTGGACTGTAGACTGAAGATGTACAACATCTACTGTAGATTATAATGAATACATTAATAATTGAATTAAGATAACTGTTACATTTATGTGGTTAGCATGCATGAATCTTTTAAAAGCACCTGGAGGTTAGTTAAAAATAAATATTAATAAAATTATACAAATTGTTGTAATTCATCTACACTACGTAGTTCAAAGTCCTGTTTCTGTTGTTACTGGCCCTGAGTCTCCATATCTCAGGGACTCATACAATTCACATTGTGTGTGTGTGTGTGTGTGTGTGTGTGTGTGTGTGTGTGCGTGTCAGAGCAAACTATGGATTAGCTGTTACACATTGTCAAGGGGCACGTTAGTGTGGACCGACGAGGCATCAAAGAGGCAGGAAGTCTCAGAGAGCTGTGCCAGAAAACATCAGCTGTATAAGCAGAAAGGTTCGAACTCTGTGGGTCAAAAAGCCTCCATTACACGGCGAGCTGGCGGAGGGATTCCTAATGAGGAAGTTACTGTATGTTAGGAGGCAAACCGTAAATACTTCTGACATCTCACATAATCAATGTCTATTTTCATATGGACAACGGATTGCAAGAGTAATGGTTACAATCAGGGTTATAACAGGTCATGGTCAAAGGACCTTAAATGTCAGTGTAAGCGGTGAACAAACCTCTGCAAAGAAAAATATGCAACCTCTGACTCACTGAAAGTTACTTAGAAAATCTTCCTCCATATTATTAACTTGGAAATATCATGTATTGTTATATTATGTTAAATTTTTGGCTGCCAATAAAAGTCTAAATGAGAAAAAAAAAGAAAATCTTCCTCCTAAATTTTGATGATAAAATGTATCTTTTTTGCTTTTACTTTGACTGTGTTAATTAGCTTTCCACAGTATACTCTTGAAGTCCTCCCATACACATTTTAAAGTATGTACAAATACTCTGCTATGATTCATATTTTGTTTAACATGGTTCTCCCACACAAAGTTTTAAAAAAAGCAAACACAACAAAACAGAAACTCTGAAAAGGGTTCAGAAGCACATCTATTCTTTTATCCCTCATTTAGGAAATCTGGATCTGGCCTACGCCTCACCCACCATCGCTGCTTAGGGCAGATTTCACTTTTGCTTTTCACTTTCTTTCTGCTTTTCACTTTCTCCAGCACTGCTGGCACTAGGTTTGTTGTTTACCAAAACTGGCAACTAGCAGATGTATGTAATGGTAAGTAATGCTAAGTGTATGTTAGTTAGCATCTTTTATTTGTTTAAGTTGTTTGTTAGCTTGTCGCAAGGTTGGACATTAACTTTTTTGGTCCACCTGCCACTGTGGCTGGTGGATTCCAAAATCTACCCACTACTCAGTAGATTGTTTGTTTTTTGGCTTGTGAGTGAAGCAAATCTAGCAGCCACTTTCAGAGTTTTACCAGCATGTGGCTGATGGCTGGTGCTAATTTCCAGTCCTGTTCGTGGATCGATTGGCAGCGGCTGGCGAAACATTAGTGTTTGAGAAAGATACAATAATATGTACTACAGTGGGGTTTTAGAAGTTAGTGGAAGGAAGCTCAAGTGTGAGGTACATCCAGAAAGTCCTCCGCTGGAGGTTTCAGGTTTTTTTGCCGGTGTTGTGTTGAAGTGCGTTACCCATCGATACGTGTTACCCGTATTAGACAGCAATTTGCTTTCATATTAAATGACCAGAGTTGGAAAAGGGTTACTTTAAAGTAATCAAAGCACTTTACTGCGTTACTTTTTTTAAAGTAACCAGTTACTTTACTGCGTTACTCCCTGAGTAAAGTAACTCAAATACTTTTAAAGTACATCCAACGTTATTCCCTATGAAAAGTAACTCAAGCACTTTTAAAGTACTTTTGAGTATTCTACATTTCCTATTGGGCAATGTACCACAGGGCCCTAAGCCTACATTTTCTGTCTCCAAAATTCAAGTAATGGACCACTTGCCCTTCACTGAGATCCAATTCTCCCATCACAGCCATCACTTTGACCAGTAGAAACACAGAACGATCTGCTGCCGTAGACAACTGTATGACAACAACACCCCAGCTTTTTTAATATTTCCTCTAGGGATGTTACCACACAGAGTAAAAGGGGGACATGATGGTGTGAAACTGCAGAGGCACTTTGTCAACCCAGTGAGTAACATTACTGTCATTAGCATCAAGCTAGCAAACAATGTTACATCCTCATGGTCGGACATAAAGTAATAACATTAACAAATAGCGGTGGGGCTTTACTCACCACAACTGCAGAGGCTCCCAGCTTCATTTGAAACAAACTACATTATAGACGGTCCATTATTTATTAATCCCTCTGTGTCTTTATATTTTTACTTTTTATCCGCTCCCACTGTCTTTATAAAGTTCACACATCACGCTGTCATTTCAAACTCAACACTTCCTGAATTTGTTTCAAATTAAAAGCCCCTTATAACCTCGGCTGAGAGAATCCCTCCATTTTCTAAATAGGCTTTTATTGTGAAACATTTATAGGAGCTTGGTTGTGGAGGATACAGTAGCTTGCATGTTTATGTACGGTACTTCAAATGTAGCTCCTGCCATCTGCTGATGCTTTTAGGTGACTACAACAACATTTGGGCTGGCACATGAACAGACACAGTGACTCAGATGATAGTAAAAGTAATAAAAATAGGACAAGAATAACCCGATGACATCACACACGTCGCGAAAGACGACCAGGGATAATTGGTGAGTACCATCCTGTAGTGTGTCATGTCTGTCGGCCAAGTCACGGCACAATTTTATGACTCCACAATCGTGTAATGTGACATAGTGACTGTCAGAATGGGCAGAAAAGTCGTGTAGTGTGTACCAGGCATAATACAAGTCCGGAGTCTGACCTGTCTGTCAGCAAGTCCTCCTCCACCTTTTTTTAGACTCCACCATAGACAATGGCAGCATTTCTTCTCCCTGTAGCTAGCTACAAGCTTCATGACTTCTTTCGGACTGATAGGTTTAACGTTATCTCCATTATTAGAACCAAAAGACAGTCGTTGCTGTTTCGGAGCTGAAGGACCAGCGTTCTTAAAGTAATGGAAGTAACTGATTGCTTGTTTGAAAATGTAGTCAAGAATTTGATTACTCAAACAGCAAACTAACGCGTTAGGTTACTTGTTACTGCAAAAAGTAATCAAAGTACTTACAAAGTAACGCATTATACCCAACTCTGTAAGTGACATACCTAATCTAGCTTGCCCGACATACGTTTGAATCTCAGATTTTAGGAAAGTACACAGATATGCCCCCCGGCAGTAGAGGAATGTGAAAAAACCTCACTAGTGACGAACTTTACACAGATACAGGTCAGCATAGTCATAGTCAGACATTTTAGGGGACATAAGGAAAGAAAAACACACTTTTAAGTAAAGGGGGACTTAAAAGAGAAGGACATCAAGAAAATACAAGAAGATGCAATGCTGGATACATTAAACGCTATGCTGAGTGGATACTGACCTCTGCCTGTCCACAGTCAGGGGATAGATTCTTGCTGAAGATGATGGCTGGGGCAGCAGTGACCCGAACAGAAAAGTCAGTCAGGATTGGTGTCAGGATGGCGCGTCGCTCCTGGTGCCTCCTGATACTGAATAGAGATACATACAGGATCAAACTGTTATCAGACATCTTTTCAGATAGGCTCCATAACTTATTTATTGCCTTTAGATTTATCTTAATAACTAAAAAAAAGGATTGGGTAAATTTGGACAATTGGAGATCATCGTTGTAATCAAAGCTCTTCGGTTGGAGATACTGTTAAGCAGCTCTAATTGCAAAAACTTCACGGACATTTTTATTTAGAAAGTATTAATTACTGAATTCTATTTTAGGTAAAAGTGTACAGTCTGGGTGTTAAAGTGATGATAGTATTACATTCCAACACAAACAGCAACCATAAGGGACCACTTACTCACTAACATTCCCCAACCTTTATTTACTAATAACTTGTTATGGTTACCAGTTGTAAAATATTTGTAACACTGTCTCATCTGCCTAGGAATGACAAGTCAACACAACACAGTCAAAACCACAAAATGCTCAAAAACCGAGCTTTTGTTTTGCCCTTGGCTGACAGGCAGACACACATTTCAAACTCGCTCTGGCTTTTTAAATTCAAACCAGTAGGATGAAAAGCTAAACTCAAAATAAGAGACTTCAAAATTGATTTTCCCTCGCAGGCCAGACCTGTGAAATATTCCCATAAGTGAGCTTTTTTGAAATTTCTGGTCTAACACATTCTAGCTGGAAGCTTGAATACGGTTACAGAGACAGAGTGAGACGTTATTTGACAAGTCTCAATTGGGAACACCCCTTAATTGTATACATAAGATCAAATAGAAACCTTCTCACATCAACTCTCTCCATTTCACTAATGTTCATTCCCACAATCAAGTCATATTTGTGGGAACATTTGTTAGTAGTAAAACAAATATACAAGGGGGCTTTATAAAGTGGTGTTAATTGCCACATCTGCTGCTATTAAAACAATCAAGTGGTACAGCTTCCAATATTTATAGTTGGCCGGGATTATGAAAGGCCCTGTTTCTAGGTGGCCTAGAGTACAGTACTTAACCAGAACCAATATCATATTCACTTCTACAACACAAATGTGCATTACCAGTGCCCTTAAGGGATTATTTTCTGACACATTTCTCTGCATAGGGAGTTTGAAGGAGGCCTAATTCGGAGGTGAAATGATCTGTGAGGCCAATTGGTGTTGGCTAATCTCCCCTCAGACAGGGATTGAAACAATGAGTGTCTCGTTGCAGGGGACAGGTGCTATCATTCACCAGTAAGGCTAGCAGGCGTGAGGCTCGGTTTACCAGTAATATGGGGTCCCCTGACTGGGCCAGAGAACTCTGCGTGTGTGTGCGTGCACCTTTGAATGGGTGTGGTGCAGAGCACAAAAGATGGAAAAAATGACTTTGTTTTCATACTAAGCTACATAGTGTGAACAGTAAGTTGAGATATCCGTGGCATGGACAAAAAGAGAGAGGCCTGCACTGGGTGGCTGACAGGAGGGGAGATGGAGAGAGTTCACAGCTCCATGACACGGGTCTTTCCTAGCCGGCAACTACACACTGTGATGAGGACAGATCCTGTCAGTGGATCCATAGTGCTGGAATTTCCTCGCAAAACCTCAGGAAGCCAACTGAGGCCACTGCAGATCCGCAACTACTGGAATTGAACCCAAAAAACTGCAGAGTGAACATGCCACGAGTCCAAAGCTGGAGAGAAAGAGAGAGGGGGGGTATCGATGTAGGGAATGAGGGAAAGGTGTGAACTTTGGAAGTGGTGTGTGTCAAAACTTGTTATAATCGAGGTGGTGTGTTTCTGTGGGTGATTGCAGCAGACAAGTAAAGCTGTGAACTTGACTCCCCTTTCCTCAGTGTGTTGGAACATTCTAAATCACATGTTCAGTTATGACTCGGTCATGGTGGTGGCTGAGGCTGGGGTATACAGTGCAGCGTGTGGCAGTACAGCAAAGCCCAATTTCCAACAGAACTTCCAGTGCTGTCCCCGCACAGCAAGGAAAGAGAAGGCCACCACAGCCACCTTGACTGATTTGTTTGGAAGCTAAGAGCGAGTGCTGGGGGAACTTTAAAAACCTCAACAACGACAACTTTTTCCTTCTCAGCGTGATCACACAGACACATACTTGCTGATGTGTATTTAATTATTAAGGATAGAGCAAAAACCTTTTACTAGATAATTATTTGCACTACAACACACTGTTGGCAACAAGTCAATGTCAAACTAAAGTGAACTTTGTTACAGTATAATACTGTTTCAATCCCTTGAGTAGAACTATAACTATTAAGCTACATGTTAGGTCATCCTATAATCAAGTTCTGAATAGAAATCCAGACCTAGTATGTCTAAAGAAAGTTGAGTCGACTCAAAAGGCATTCAGCATCTTCTGAGGCCCAAAGTGTGAGCCCAAAATCTCACCTCATTGCCCTGTTAGACAATCTGGCCTTGGCACTTGGCCCAAGCAGCCCAGTTTTCATCGACAGAGAAACAAATTGAGAGTAAAACAGAAAAATTGCAAGTGGATTGAGCCTCAGTAGCCCTTTACTCATATGAGCTTGTCAGACTTAGGTCCAAGTCTGCTACTTAAAAGGCCTGTTTTACAACAGACCCTGGCACTGTTGGAGAAGGCAAAGACAAATGGGGATTTTGGGATAGATGGTCAAAACTACTGGGGACAAAGGGAGAGTAAAAAGAAATCGGGGTGGTCTGGTGGTTAGAAATACCATCCCACAGGTCCGCTTTAGTGTTGTAGTCGAGACCGGACTCAAGACCACTTTTTAAGGGTCTCCGTCTCGTCTCAGACTTAACTGCTATTTATACACGGTCTTGTCTTGATTTCAGACAAAGAGGACTCAGGATTTTGTTTCAAGACTGGTCAAGACCACAACCACAGGGTTATCACAAAATTGACCGTGTTATAGGACTGTTAAATAAAGATGATTAAGTTGGTTTCAGCTCCTTAGTGTTTGTTTTTATGTGTTTGCTCATAAAAAACAAAGGGAAATTCCCAGTGATATAATTCAGCTCTGCAATGCCTATTGATTATTTTATCAAGCCATTTACACACATACTGTACATACAGTATGGCAATAACAGCAGAGAATGAAGAGGAATCTTAATTTGCTCTTGTGTGCATAACAGGAATGTGGATCTTTAAGATAGATGCAGATGAACCCCTCCAGATTAGTGTTGTCACGGTACCAAAATTGGGACCCACTGTGCGATACCAATGAAAATATCATGGTTCTGAGTAGTATCACGATACCACAGCGAAAATGAGGCAGATGTGCCTTTTGTCATTTATGAAAAGATAAATCACTTTTCTATAATACATCACTGATATTTCAATGGAATAAATTACTTACTGACTTATTCATACTTCAAAAACAGCATCAATAAGTGATGAACATAGGGGGGATCAAAATAAAATAAATAAATAAAATAAAAACCAACCAGCCACCCTCCTCCCCTGACAGTCCCTTGATAAGTAATGAACAGTCCCTAAAGTGCGGTGAAGTTTGTGGGCCGTTACTGCCAGAAATGTGAAAGGCTCATTTCTCCTCTGACACGTCACATACCTGTGTTCGGCTGGCTCGGCTGTTCAGGTACTTCTGGGCAGTCATGACACCAAGAAGAGGATATTATTGGAACCGACTTCTCCGTCGCCGGGTAAGCCGATGGCAGCCATATTTGACAGGAATACATTAACGTTACTGTCTGTGTCTGTGACCCCCGTTCAACCCACAATCGGCGGGATTCGCCTTTCGTTTCTGCTGCTGGTTGAAATCTGTAGGCTGCTCGCACAGCGTGCTGAATGATTTTGCTCGCTCAAAACTATTTTTAGTCGCAAATGCGAGTGCCGTGATGGACGGATCACCACACTACCGACATTTTATTCCGCCCATCACGGCACGCCGTTTGATTGCGTTATCAAAACACGCCGCTATTATTCGGCCTTACTTTTAACTTATTCCACCGAATACCGAATGTGTGTTTTTTTGCAATATTCGGCCGAATATATTCGGTTACCAAATATTCGGTGCACCCCTAGTTTGCATGTTGCATTTATCCTGTGTGTCTTGTAAGGTGGGGCTCACACTGGTCTGGTCTTGGTCATAACTTGGTCTTTGTTTTGGTGGACTGTTGACTACAACACCAGCACACTCCACTGAATCACTGAAATACTAAGAAACAAAAGCTCTACTGGCTCGCTCATTCTGAGTCACTTTGGCACAGCCTTATCTAAGCAAGTGAAATGAAACAATCAGATTTAAGAATTTCTATTTTTTAATTGACCAAAAAACGAGTGGAGACAGCATTGGTTATTTTCTATTCAAGTTTTTTAAATTTTCTATTCAAATATGAGTTGATTCAAAAAATAAAATCAACACTTTGCAATAAAGGAAACACTTGAAAATATAAACTAAATTTTCTTAAAATAACCAAACTTGTTTAAAATGACTGCATTATCGCTTTCACCATCCTTTTTATAGTGATGCTTGCCCCATGTCTTATAAAGCTTATTTTCAAGAGTGCAGTCAGCACCTCAACTTTAACTTCAACTTTAACATTTGCCGAACCTTGCCTAAAAAAGATGTTTTGGTTCAACCTGGAAGAGATAAATCAAACAACTTAATGTCTTAATTAGAGAGTGTAGAGCAGGGAGCTGAGGTCCTATGGCAGGTCTAACAGCTGAGGGCTCAGCATCAGTATCCCATCATGCTTAGGTGTAAGACATTCAGTAAAGAAAATACCAGTGTTCATGACAAGCATGTATGATTGTTTGTATGTGTGTGTGTGTGTGTGTGTGTGTGCACGCACTAGAGAGTGTTTTTGTCTGTGTATCTCAGCCAGCATCACTCTGCTCTGATGACCTGAGGGCACTCAGTCTCAATCAGGCTCGTGTTGATTCTGCACTGCATTCTTCCACAAGGCTTATTTTTAGTTGACAGGGAACAAATCTGGAGTCTTTGCCTGTGATTTCTGTGATTTTTGGGTCTGTTCCCTCTCAAAACATGAGTGGAAAAAAGGGACATGGGGCCAAACAGGCTGTTACACTTGTGCTTGTTTTAGCTCCCGAGTCTATAAAAAAATGACAGGGTTTGTAATTATGACTGTGCATGGAGAGGCTCCATGATAGGGCGCTAACTCAATAACTACATGCTGCTCCCACATCAAGACTGATGAGATAAATTTTGGGACATTAACGGCAGATCACACACACACAGCACCTGACTAGGGGTGTAACAATTTCATCTAGCAGCAATGGGAATAGTACTTGTTGTGGTCATTGTGAGGGGTTCATCCAAACAGACAAAGAATCTCAGTGGGGTTCTCTTTCTGGCCACCTGATGAACATTATTTCAATGAACACAAACATTGTCCTGGTTTAATATGGCAGGTTCTGAGATACTAGTCAATACTAGTGATGTGCTCTTTATGACTCTGCTTGTTTCATAGTCCTGTGTTCTTTGTGTTTATGGTAGTAATATGTTGTTATGTTGGAGTGGAAGAGGCTGAAGGCTGAAGATAAATTACAATACTTAAAGATCAAGCAGTTGGAGGTTTAAACACAACGCAAAATGAACCACTGCCACAAGTCTTTGCATGCAAACTATTAGTTAAAAATCAATAGTGTTTTTCAAAATCAATACTAAAGTGTGTCCTGACCTGCTGGCCATGTTCCACTCCAGGGCTGGGTTCTGGGAGCTCCTCTCACTCTCCGTGGACACACCTCCTTTGGTTCCCTCCTTCTCTGGCTTGAGTTGCTCCCACTGAGCCGTTCCAATGTTGATGGACTGGAGATCGACCTGATACTGCCGGTCCTCTACCTCTGAGCCCGGGTCACGCAGGATGCCCAGGTGCAACGCACGTCTAGAGGGAAGAGAAAGAAAATGCTATTTGTTTGAATCCCATAACAAATCATGTAGTGTGTCAATAATTCTAGGAAGCCCAGTTGGGCAAAGACTTAGATAAGGTCGAAAACATATTGCAGAGGGTAAAGCACGAGTCACATTCAACTAGCAGGTGTGTAAAAGTCCAACTAACCTAAATGTATAAAACATGAATAGGTTTTATTTACTGTTGTGGGGGTCAGCCTGTACTTATAAAGTCAATTACAACAAAGTAAATGACTCCAGGAGTAGACCAGGTAGTCTGTAATACTGAACCAGTAAAGAGGTTCTGGCAACAGGCCCTAACCACTTCTGACTTCTTTCTGCCCTCTGTCTACTCAGTGGTTTAGAAGCACAGGTTTCTTGCAAGATGATTTATGACTAAATCAAAGCCTCTGGTGTAGCCAGGCCTCGGATAAATAGCTCCACAGGCTTCAGGTGAAATCATTTGCCTTTTATAAAGAACAGATTTATGCCAGCTTATCACTGACAGTAAACATTGCTTAAACCCCTGGCTGGACAGCACAGTAGTCTGCAGACGTGGGCTCTTTCTACCCCTCTCTTTCTATTTCTGTCTCCAGAAACACAGGACTTCTACAGTATACACAAACTGTGATATGGTAGAAGAGATGTAGAGATATGTCAGGAGTGGGCAGCGCTGTCTCTGCAGCTGAGCTGCTACAGTCAAGTGAGCAAACACTGTCCCATCAGCGCCAAGAAAAAATGATGTCATCTATTTTGCCTTTGAGAGACAAGATCCTGACGAATTCACGAGGCAAAAGGAATAATCAAAATTCAACATCTGCATATGACATCAGGGCTTTCAGTTCGTTATGATATGTTTATTTGTGCTGGTGAATTCAAATGAGAGCTTAAATGGTATAAATAAGGGCTTAAAATGGCTACAGATGTAGCGGCAGCATGAGTAGTTTTATTTGTTTCGGCAACGTCAATGGCAATTTTCATATAGCATTTCTCTCCCTTAGCCACACTGGAAAGGCCTCTACCAGAGCGTGATGTTATGACAATAAGCACCAAGTACAAAAACAATGGCAATGGGAGATCAGAGGTGTATAACTGGATTTAGCTGGATTTGTTGACATACAAACAAGTGAAACAGATCCTTAATCAACATTTGGAACCACATTTATCAACAGAGTATAATATAAATCAAACCAAGAGCCCTGTAAGATTTGGGTGGGATGTGTCAGTCTAGATTCATTAGGGCTTTTGTAACAGTACCTCCATCACCCTCCCCAACCCCAAACTGTATTTTTCACATTAAACAAACCACAGTTACCTCATATGCTTTCCAAATTATCTCTTAACTTCAGCTTATTTAGGAGACTCTCTTACTCATAATCAACATTACATGGGAGTCTGCAGCCAAGTCCCTGCATTGCTGAGCTGCAGGGTCATCTCCAATGACATAAATAAATATGATAAACATTTGTCTTGGTCATGCAGCCAGTGGAAACCGGTGTGATTTAATATCAAAAGACATATTTCAGCCAATCGCAGGAAACGAGAGAGCTTCATTTCTGACAAATGAGGAGGGGAGGAATTTTGGAAGTTCCCCTTGGGGTGCAATAATAATTGAAGCCAGACTTTCTTGTTGTACATGTGGGAGGAAAACACTGGTGGTTTGACATATTTGATTGGTCATGTGAAGACCACACTGCTTGGCCAAGAGGAATCAGAGAATGCCTTGGGAAAGCACAGCACTCATTCTGCCCACCATATACACGGACGAACTAAAAACATACAGAGCGAGGCAGGTGGAACACACCCTTCTGCTGGGTCTCGGATGCCATTATCAGACATCTGCCTGCCACTACCATGTGGAAAATATGGAGCAAAATGAAAATAACAAGTCATAAATGACATGCTTTCACAGATGAGGAAGGCATAGAGGGGGAAGAAGAGGGGGAGAGAGCGGGTGAGGGAGAGAAATTTTTCTCAAACACAAGTACTTAGTTTTGCCCTTGTTCCCGAGCCAACCTTATTTTAATTGCAGGAAAAGACCACAGAAACATTATTTTTTACGACAAAATTCTGCTATTTATAAAAACGGATCAAAAGCTCTGCAGTAAGAACGCTCTGTTTCATGGCATTAGTGGCTATTATTTTAAAAAACATTTCTCCCTCTTCTGACACAATTTAAACCCAATTTGAGTCCGAAAAGCCACTGGGCCGCTCTCGCATCAGAGCTGAAATATGAGGGCTTGCGTCCAACATTATTATGGCTCAAAGTCAAAACCTCCATCCAATTCAAACCCTCCAGTGGGAAACAGCAGACAAAATAGTGAAGGCATGGCAGTGTTATGTATCTAGAATGCAGGACTTGGAAGGAGCAATTCACTGGTACTTCATCACTGAAGAAAAAAATAATGATGTTCCAAATTCCTTTGAACAGCAGATATGCAGACAAATTTACAAATGGGCAATTAATTGCAAGTTATGTTCCTCTGTTTAGCATTCTTTGGGTCTATGCATGTGCTGGGCAGAGCATCAATCATGATTTGTGTTATTAACTAGATGTGTGGGAGGACTGAGTGCTTAACATGCAGCAGATTTGGGAACGTGTGCTGAAGTGGTAATAGGATTCGAGGAGGAACCTTCTGGGCACACGCATAACACACCAGTTAGCACACAAATTAGCTAATATGCATGTATACACTGATAAACAGCAAATGAGCTCATGCAGGCACACACTGCTGCTGCATGCCATGGAGGCATTAGGTGTAACCAGTGGAGGATTTACTTTGCGTCTGCACACAACTTTGAAGCAGCATCCAGACTTGGAATATAGAACTTGCACGATAGGAGAGAATGAATTGCAAGAAAAACAAAGTGAAATATGTTTTAAGAGTGTTACATGGAAACAGAATCATATTGAGCAGAGCCAATGGGTAAGTAAGTAAAAGGGCTTGTTGAAAAAGAGTGAAAGTGGAATCTTAGAAGTGCCTGATTACCAAAGCTATGGTTTTGAAGGCTAACCGTGGTTCAAGGTTGTAAAACAAACCACAGTGGGATCTGGTTGAGGCTCAGGGCCCAATAGTAGGAGTGTGGGAGCAGTGGGCTGTGTCATAGACTCTTACCGAGGGGATCCTGTGGGGCAGGGTGTATCATGGCCCTTGGCTTTACATGGCCTCCCACCTTCCTCTCTCAAGCTCCATCTATCCCACCCCATCCCCATCCCCTGCCCCAGGCCAACGGGGCAGGAAGCACCGGGGTAATACCAAGCGCCGCTGGCTTCTGGATCTCGTCACTCTGAAACCCGCAACCTGAACCCACAACCCCAGACCTGTTTTTCACTCCATTTCCCCAACAATCACAAGCAATACATGTCTGCTTACACATTCAACAGAGGCAAGAGTGTATGTAAATGTGCGTGTGCACATGCCTGCAAGTGTGTGTTTAAGAGAGACAGGGCCCTCTGCGTCTGCTCTCCTGGTAGAACATACATGCCGAGTAGAAATTTCATTGAGATCTCCGGCTTAATTCGGCCAAGTCAAGCTAAATTAGTTTTGTACGCACACATGTGCTATATTTCATGAGTGTTCCATGTTCTTTGTTTTGAGCAGACCTCAACTACTGTATATTTGAACTGAAAGAGCACATTCTACGTGAAACCCTGAGGGTGCATGTCTTGCTGTGTCATTTAATTTTGTGGAGGGGTCTGTGCAAATGCAAAAAGAAAATTTTTTGTGAGAGCAGCACAAATAGTATCACTCATCTATAAATTCTAAAAAAAGGAAAGTGTTCAATTGAGGTTTTGATATTCTTTCTCTGTGGCTTTGAATGTTATTAGCCAAACACTATTAGCACCCAGCAGCTCCTCCATGGTATGTCTGATGTGGAGAGGCCAAAGCTGCACAGTGGCTTCTCAATCCGCTTGTTGTGACTCCCAGAGGCTTAAAGCTGAGTCCCACTGGGCCTGTGTGTGTGCCGAGGGGGAATTCATAAGCATTATGATTCATGAAACTTGCAATTACTTAGTAAGTTAAGCACCCCTGCCTACGGTGGTCTGCTCTGAATTGCCAGAAATTCGGCAACTTCTGAGCTGTGGATTTATGACCCCAGTCAAGTCCAATTGCTGTTAATTTGCATCTACCAATTATAGTAATTAAGGCTCGGAATTAGAACGCTGAGCAGCCCTCGGAGTGAGAGGGGAAAATGATGTCGTGGAACAATGCTAGTCAGCAGAATATAAGACCCAGTCACTCAGGGGTTTTTATACTGCTGCTACTAAAATCATTTTTGATGACAAGAGCTTTTTCAACAGGAGTCAAACACAGTCACAAAAACAACAAAATATCCAAGACAACTAAGCTACAACAATACTCCAAATTTGTCACACTTGGCAATAACAAGGTACTTACTGGTGGGTGTTTTAAGCCAAGTACAACAATTCCAATCTATAGTTGATTTTCTTCCCTTACTGGAACAATACGCAATAAACATAAATTGCTGCTTTCCCCATTGTGTCAAGGCTTTGATGTAGTGACACTTTCCCATGACAAAAATTGAATAATCTATTCTTTTTTAGCCCAACAGCATTACTCATCTCCACTGCTGCTCCCAACAGAAGCCTGTTATTCATTAGGCTGATTGCACTTTAAAGACACTCATACTCAACCAATTATATCATATTTACACAAGATCTTACGAGGAAACTATTACTTCTATATACAATACAAGCAGGGCTTAGCTCAAGCCCATGCCACCCTCAAGACAACTGTACATGATAGGAGTTGAGTGAAAGCGCTACAGAGGAAGGCCCTCTGTTTACAGTGACATGGTGCATACCAAAAATCAGTGTTTGCACTTTGATTTCAACATATCTTAATTACAGGAGTCATTTATCTCCCATGCAGTTTACATGTCAGAGAAGTTATATTGTTATAAACACAGTCAGTATTAGAAGTGTTGCTCTGAAGACACTGGCTAACATGTGCTCGCCATGATGGCCTGTTA